TAAACACACACTTACCTGTCCAACGATGTTCTCACCCGCGCCGGCCCTTCTCTCCTTCTCTTCTCCATGGCACCAGCATCTCAACTGTGGGCATCTGGCTGTGACAGCTTACGGCTTCACAGCCTGGTGCCCAGTGCGCATGCGTGAGTCATGCTGCGCCTCCTGATTGGTCCGGCAATCCCCTGGGACCTGTGAAAGTTCCCAAGAGACTATGGGAGGGAGGAGGGGGCCGAACTTCCGGCTCATTTTGCCGTGGCGAACTGAGCCTGAAGTGGGAGTCAAACCCAGGTACCCGCTCCCCCCGTCACCCCAAAAGGTGCCAAATATGGCAGTGGAGGGGGGGAGGAGGCAAATAAGTGGAGCTTCCGCTTTTGAGTGCAACTCCACTTTAAAGCTTGGCCTTCAGATTTTCCAAACAAAGTATTACATTTCTTTGGGGATGCAAAGTAGGGTATTTTCTTTATTGTCACTGATGCTTTCCCATTGATGGGACTACATGGATTACATTGACAGGAGAACACCAGGGGATAAGAAGGGAGGGAGGACACTGACCCTGCTCACAGAAGTTGTGTCTTCCTCCCCTCAAGTGTATTGTTTTTGGACATTCCAGATGGTTCATGATTATAGCATGCTCTGTGTCCTGTGATGTACGATAAAGAAAATTGGATTTTTTTCTGTTTATTAAAACTGTAGCTGCTGACTATTAAAATACAGCCACTTACATGTCCTTTGGTCCAGAGGTGTCCTCACCACCGCTGGTTTCACCGGCTGTCTTCTCTCCCTGGCATCTTCAGTGTGGGCACCTGGCTGTGATAGCTTGCCGGGTCCCCACTGTGCATGCGCAAGAAGCGCTGCGCTTTGTGAATGGCCCCGTAGTCTTCTGGGACTTGTCACATGTCCCAGAAGACTATAGGGAGGGAAGGGGGAGGACAACTTCGCTTCTGATCTCCTGGGCGATCACAGTGGAAGCGGGTACCTGTCAAATTCTGGTACCCGCTCCCCAAAGGTACCAATCTTTATTGAGGAGTGGGGGACAAGGGCTTAAAGTGGAACTTCCCCTTTTGGAATCCATTTATTGGAGTACATCATGGGACACAGAGTTTCCTCCCCTCCTTCTTGAAGTTCATTACTTGCTATAAAACTGGTGTGGTTCTTGTGTGGGAGGGGCTACATAGGGGAGGACTTCCTGTCTGTTTTTGGTTGGGCAGTGTCCATTCACCTATATACATAATCTAGATCGTAACGATTATATTGCTTTGTGTTCCGTGATGTACTCCAAGAAATAGATTTTACAAGTAAGTAGATAAAAATCCAATTTTCACCATGCATGTGTACTGTAGATCAGAAATTGATATTTTCAGTGCTCATGGGATTTCTTCTTTAAAAGGTAAAGCAGTACTGGAGGAGCCACTTGTATTTTTACCAAGGTTTCCTCCTTCTTCTCCCAAGGTATTTCCCACAGTCAAGTACACACACTCTTTCGCTTGTTTTTTTTCAATGACCAGTCTAAGGGGATGTTTGTTTTTTGGAGTAATATTGTAGAACTGGGGATAGGAATGGGGAATTTAGTAGGATACTCCAGAATTAGAACTATTCACACTGAAGGACATCTAGCTGATCTCTAAGTTGAGCGCTTTTGAAGTCCTGGCTGAAAAGCAGATAGCAGACTTCTCTTTAAATTGTAGTAACAAGTAGTTTCGGAGTGAGCAAAGTCCATTTAGCAGTAGTAGCAGTTGCAGGGCTGATCTCCTCAAGCACAGGCCTGTTACGAAAGACACTTGCAGTCCAAAAGTAATAGAACTGAGCAAGGTCCTTTGCAGTAGCAACAGCTGGACAAACTCTTCAGAACACCAGCCAGTGTTCTCTTTTTCCAGGTCCATGCTGACTATCAAGCACCAGAGGGGTAGCAAAGCACACACAGTCCTCAAAATCTCTCAGTGTCTGCCATTCTGTCCTTGGACTTGTAAGTACAGTCTCCCTCCAATCTTCCAAGCGACTCCTTCTCTAGTGATACCAGACAGATCTTTGGCAGACAGCTCCCCTTAGTCAACTTACTGTAGACCCAAGACCACTCTCTCTAACCTCAGGCCCTCAGGTTGTCCACCTGAGGCTCGCATGGCAGCAAGTGCCAGGTGAGGCAGCCTGCCTCCAGCCGGGCTTGGTGCAATCCTCTCCAGGGAAAGATGTTGAACCCATGTGCTCACAGAACATAAAATACTACTACCAGCATGCAATGGGGCCACCCTCCCGTGCAATTGGCCTGGGCTGTATCCATATTCAAGCTGCTATTCTGCTTAGTTCCCTCCCAGGATTTTGGAAGGCTCCATAGCTTCCTGAAGGCGGGCAGAACTCAAGGTAAACCCAGCAGCACCAGCAGACCTGACTAATCCATCACAGCACCTTGTTAAGCAGAGAAACACAGCTATACTTATCCTAAGTATACAAATCTTAATACCCAACTAGGAGGGAATTACAGCACAGGGGCGGACTGACAATCATGGGGCCCCTGGGCAATAGGGGATCATGGGGCCCCTGTGTCTTGCCCAAACTCACTAAAAAAAAGCTAATGAAAAAGGTACCAGGGGCATCTCATGGGGCCCCCTACTGACCCAGGGCCCTCGGGCAGTGCCCGAGTTTATGGTCAGTCCGCTGGTTACAGCAATAATACTCTTTAGCTATCATTTATTATTATAGGGAATTCCCATTGGTTTCCTTTTGTTCTTATGAAATCAGATTTTAATTGGCAAGGGATCCAAAGTACCCCTTAACTGGTTCATTTGAGGCTGGAGGGAGAGAGGAGAGACTTATTTTAATACAGTATATACCAAAAATAAAATGATAAAGTGAAAAATATAAAGTCAATAATAATAAGACGAAGAATACATGACATCTGATCCATCAGATTGGGACATTTACTAGCATAGCTAATCAATAATTCACTCATCTCTACCTAACATGATTGTTGTTTGGGGTGGAGATTTTTCCAGACTATTCCTAGCAGAGGGCTGGGAGGAGTTTTGATTAGCCAAAATTTTTTTTTGGTCATGTTGAGAAAAAGATACTGCAATATTTATGGGATGATTCACAGTTATGCCTTCATTCTGCTGAGTAAGAAAGTTTATTGGGAACACGGCATTCAGGACAATCTCTCCAAAATTTGTGAATATGTATTGTGTATTCCTGGATAATAGAGAAGAAACTATACAAATGTAACACACAGGGGTCTTTTTATCAGTGTGGTCAGCAAAGATTCACACAACTCTCCCCCAAGGGTTGCCCATTTCCACATAAGATTCAGCTTGAAACATTGATAAAAGCCGTGTGAATTGTGTGTGAAAAACACTGATAAATTAACCACTTGCCCTCCAGAGGATTTACCCCCTTCCTGACCAGGCCATTTTTTGCAATACGGTGTTGTGTTATTTTAATTGACAATTGCGCGGTCATGCAACGCTGCACTCAAATCAAATTTCTGTCATTGTTTCCCCACAAATATAGCTTTCTTTTGGTGGTATTTGATCGCCTGTGCATTTTTTATTTTTTTTGCGCTATAACTTTTATGTTATAAAGTCCGACAATTTTGAGAAAAAAAAAAATATTTTTGACTTTTTTACTATAAAACATGTCCAGTAAAAAAATAAAAAAAATAAAATTTTGTCAAATTTAAGTCAAAATGTATTTCGCGACATGTCTTTACTAGAAAAAAACCCCAATATGTGTAAATTAATTGGTTTACGTGAAAGTTATAGCGTTTACAAATGGCGGTATATATACCGGAATTTTTTTTTTTTGCTAGTAATGTCAGCGATCAGTGACTTATAGCAGGACTGCGGGACTGCGGTGGGCATTCTGACACTGGGGGAAACTGACTTGGTATTACTGATATCCTCAGTGACACCAATACAGTGATCAGTGCTAATAAAAAGCACTGACACTACTAATTGCACTGGGCAGGAAGGGGTTAACATGTGGGGCGATCAAAGGGTTAACTGTGTGCTGTTTTACTTTGTGCTGTGTGTGTGCTTCACTGTAAGCACACTGCTTTGTATGGTTCTGCATCTCCGGAGCTTGCAGAGGAGATATCTGTGTTTATACACAGGTCTCTCACCCGTCGGAGATACTCGGTGATCACCGGGTGCCGGCGAGTAATCACCATCCAGGATCCGGCGATTGAAAGCCGAGGCCGAAAATGGCGGCGCAGGTAGAACGCGCGTGTGCCCCCTACCCGGTATTGCAAAATCGTGATTTTGCGCACCCATGCTGCCCTGTAGCAGTATTTCTGCTATACGGCGGCATGGAACAGGTTAATGTGTTACTAATACAGTGTTCTATTTACTCCGAATTGTTTTCATCCAGTTATCAGGAAAATGGAAGGTGGTGGGATCTGCTACGTTTATTTCTGAAGAGCATTCTCCAACCGAAATTGAGTTCACTGTGGAGGGTCAGCATGTGATTCTCTCACCTGATAAAGGGTAAGCATGTAAATGTAGGACAGTGGCAAAAGGCATTACAGTGTTACTAAATCCACAACAGTACAATCAGTCTGTATATGCAATCAAGCATGCTTGTTATACTCACTGTAGAACCTAAGAGGTTAATCCTCTGCATTGTGTAAAAAGGATGTTTGATCCTGACTTCTCTGCACCTCCCCTTCTTCCAGTGCCCCCCTCTTATCTCCTGATAGAAATATCATGTGGAGTCACTTTACACATGCTCACTTTGGTGTGTATTGCTAGAGAGGTTTTTTTTTTTCTTAGGAGAGTGCATGTGATCAGCATAGGGCCAATCAGCACTGTTCAGACAGAGGGTCAGGGGTTATGCAGCCTTATAAGACAATCAGGAGAGAGAAAACTCCTCCTACAAGCTGTAACATGTACTCTGCTGAACACTGATAGAAGTCACAAGACTGCTATATACTGCTGATGAGAAAAGGTATTTAGCAGTTTATAGTTACTAAAATAATTTCATTTCCATGTTCTGTGTACTGTGGGAGACCAGATATAGTGAATGCAGGGTCCGGGGAGACCGGATATAGTGAATGCAGGGTCCGGGGAGACCGGATATAGTGAATGCAGGGTCCGGGGAGACCGGATATAGTGAATGCAGGGTCCGGGGAGACCGGATATAGTGAATGCAGGGTCCGGGGAGACCAGATATAATGAATGCGGGGTCCTGGGAGACCAGCTATAATGAATGCGGGGTCCTGGGAGACCAGCTATAATGAATGCAGGGTCCGGGGAGACCAGATATAGTGAATGCAGGGTCCGGGGAGACCAGATATAGTGAATGCAGGGTCCGGGGAGACCAGTGAATGCAGGGTCCGGGGAGATATAGTAAATGCAGGGTCCGGGGAGACCAGATAAAGTGAATGCAGGGTCCTGGGAGACCAGATATAGTGAATGCAGGGTCCTGAGTTTAGTAACACTTTAATTTTACAGGTGAACTTCATGCAGATATAAGAGCCATGCTTAAATGCAAGCAGAGCTGTGTTGAGCTCAGAATTGGATGATCAGAATTACAAATCCAGTGGCAGCTGAAACAGCTCCACTATATATATATACATTTCACCTATGTATTGATCTGTTTACCTGAAGTTCAGCCTTAGGCTCCATGCACACTAGCATTTTTTCTAAGCTAAAAAAATGCTGGATGCTGGATAAACTGGTAATTAAATTTTTTGTTAGAATTTTAGTAGTGTTTAGCAGCGTTTAGAAGTGTGTAGGGGCGTTAGCCTATTATTGGCTGTTTTACAGTACATGTAGGCAAAGAAAAACTAGAAAAGAGCTGTTAGGAGCATTTTAGTAGCGTTCAGCATTCAACACTCCCAAAAACTCTTCAAAAACTATTTTTTTTCTGCTCCTAAATGCTGAAGCTTGAAAAACGCTACTAGCCTAAAAAGTGCGCATGAACACATAGGCTAACACTTTTTAGCTTCTAGGAGCAGAAAAAAATGCCAATAACAGCTTGTAGGAGCTTCAAAAAAATGTTAGTGTACATGGAGCCTTAAATAACTATTGTGAAATTTAGTATCAGCAGCTGGTTTTGAGAGACATTTTACATTAATTTGATTTTGTATTTAAATCACTACAGTATGAATACAACATGGGAGAAGCGATTTGACGGCTTCTATGATATAAAAGGTAAGAGAAAGGATTGTAGAATATTATATTTATCATATTCAGTGAATATTAACCACTTAAGACCAGGCCCTTTCTGACACTTTTTGTTTTCATTTAAAAATCAGCCTTTTTTGCTAGAAAATTACTTAGAACTCCCAAACATGCTATATTTTTGAAAGCGGGGGCCCTGAAGAATAAAATGGTGGGTGTTGCCATTGTTTATGTCGCACGATATTTGAGCAGCGGTTTTTCAAATATAATTTTTTTGTGAAAAAATACACTTTTTTTTAAATTTTATTGCACTATATGGTAAAATATAAAGGATTGATGTTCACACTGAGCAAAAACGGTGCGTGCCCGTGTGACGCTGACAAGCTACATACATTTTACCATCCAAAGGCGACACTTTAAAAGCTTTTACAGATTACCACTTTAGATATATACAGGACATCTGGTGCTAGAATTACTGCCCTCAGTCTGACGTTCATGGGATGCCTCACATGTATGGTGCAAGGCAGGGGCGGACTGACCATTTGGAAACTCGGGCACTGCCCAAGGCCCGGGGTCAGTAGGGGGCCCCATGAGATGCCCCTGGTACCTTTTTCATAGGCTTTTTTGAGTTTGGGCAAGGACACAGGGGCCCCATGATCCCCTTTTGCCCAGGGGCCCCATGAGTTGTCAGTCCGCCCTGGTGCAATGACTGTTAACGTAGGTGTGTTGGACTGACGCATGCATTTGCCTTTGTGGGGCATGGGACGCTGTAAAATATTGTTTTTTTTTTATTATTTTTTACATTTTTTATACTGTCCCTTTATTTTTTATTTGATCACTTTTATTGTTATCACAGGGAATATAAATATCTCTTGTGATAGCAATAGGCAGGTACTTTTCACTGAGAGATCTGGGGTCTGTTAGATCCCACATCTCTCCTCTGCCCTTAAAAGCTTTGGATCATACCAAGATTTGTACGAGGCAATGCTTTTTCCAAACAATAAAGAGTTTGGTTACAAAAAAAGTGATATAAAATGTTCATCGCTTTCGGTTTTTGTAGACCATAGAAATGATCGGAGCTGTTCCGGGCCTCTGATCAGCTCTATGGTGAGACAATAGAACTCTTGTGTTCCCTGGTAGGACAGGAGAGCTTGAGAGAGTCAGTTGGGGGGGGGGGGGACATCCCCTCCTGCTGCTTCTGAAAGCAATCTAGTGGTTAATTAGCCGCTAACATTGCTTTTACAAGAAAACTGGCCGCCAGCTGAAAGAAACAATACCTGAAAAAAATGGCCTGGTCAGGAAGAGGGGTAAATCCTCTAGAGGGCAAGTGGTTAAATAAAATCTTCAGGTCCGCGCCTCCCCCCCCCCCTTCCTTCCCAGGCACGTCTTTCGCCTAGGCAGATTAACTACATTATGGAGTCCCCTGCCAGTGCTTTCCACTTCTTTTTCTTCCAGGTGCCCCCTCAGCAAGCCAGCTGTGTGCATCCATAGACACACACACAGTGTGGCTCGGTCACACCCCCTGCAGGGGAGATCTTCAAATGGGGACACTAGTTCTGGTAACCACCAGGGGTTCCCTCACTTTGGAGGGATTCCCTCTCACTTCCTGTTTTGGCTATGGAACAGGAAGCAAAGGGGTTTTCTTTTGTTGGGACACACATGGCAACTACAAAAAAACCTGACAGGGGTCATAACCCTTCCATACTCTGTCCAAAATAAAAAAAAAAAAATTTTTGCCTTCAGTTCTACTTTAAGGTAGAACTAAATGGTGGACAGCCATGATACAGCACGCCTTATGCACGGTAAAATGTAGATCAAAGATAACATGGAGTGTCTTTTTTTCTTCAGGTGGGGAGATAATTTTCAAAGTCCATGAATCACCTGAAAATTCATTGCTAGTATGGATTGGAAGCAAAAGGGAAGGTCGCGCTGCCCTGTATATATTATGTAAGTAATTTCACCAAACCAAAGTAAGAATGACAGATCCCACAATTGGTGTACATTATTATTATTATTGTTATTATTTTACCAAAACTGGTGCAAAAGAGTGCAAAATTTGGTGCGGCTCTGCACAGAAACCAATCAGCTTCCATGTTTTATTGCCAAAGCTTAACTGAACAAGCTGAAGTTAGAAGCTGATTGGCTCCCATGCACAGCTGCACCAGATTCTGAGTGCTCCAGTTTTAGTAAATCTCCCCTATAGTGTGTTATGACATTTACTCTGCATAGAGCCCCGGCACCCAACCTGCAGTCATTTTGATACTTTTTTTATGCAGCCCTTGGAGCTACTTTGTTTTTTTCACACTGTGTCTGTTTCTCATGCTGGTCATTATATTTTAAAGCGTAGTTCCACCCAAAAGAAGAAGCTCTGCTTGGTTGCCTCCTACCTGGTTTTGACAGGTACCCCCGCTCCCACTTCCCGCTCAGTTCACCGCGATGAAGTAAGCTGGGAGTTTGGCCCCCTCCTTCCTCCTGCAGTCTCCTGGGAACCTTCACAGGTCCCAGAAGACTGCCGGACCAATCAGGGGGGTGCAGCGCAACTTGCGCATGCGCAGTGGGCACCCGGCTGTGAAGCCGCAAGCTGTCACAGCCCGATGCCCACAGTTAAGATGCTAGTGCTGTGGAGAGAAGAAAAGGGATGGCGCAGGTGAGCACATTGCTGGACCCTGAGACAGGTAAGTGTGTGCTTCTTAAAAGTCAGCAGATACAGTTTTGTACCTGCTGACGTTTAACTGCCTAAGGACCTCCCTATAGCAGATATACTGCTACAGGGCGGCACCTGTGCGCAAAATCACATATATACTGTATGTGTATATATATGTGATTTTGCCTTTTGCGGGGTAGGGGGGCACACACACACTCCCTACCAGCTCCGCCTTTCGCAGCCACAGATGTCAATCACTGGGTCCCGGCCGGTAATTACCTGCCAGTGCCCAATGATTACCGACGGTGAGGAAGACTGTTTTGTTTACAGTCTTCCTCCCAGTCAGCTCGCGCAGCACACAGCCATCCTGATCATTGTGCTTACAGTGAAGCACACCCCCCCAACCCCTAGTAAAACACTCCCAGGACATAGTTAACACTTTGATCACCCCTCACATTAACCCCTTCCTGTCCAGTACCATTAGTACAGTGTTAGTGCTTTTTTTTTTTAGCACTGATCACTCTATTGGTGTCACTGGGGATGTCAGTGACACCAAGTTAGTTCCCCCCAGTGTCAGAATGTCCGCCGCAGTTCTGCTAAAAGTTGCTAATCGCTGCCATTACAAGTAGAAATAAAAAAATCACAGTATATATACCTCCATTTGTAAACGCTGTAACGTTCACGTAAATCAATTAATGTACAGGTATCAGGATTTTTTTTTTTTTTAGCAAAGACATGTCACAGAATACATTTTGGCCAAAATTTATGATGATATTTGATTTTTTAAATTTTTTTTGTGGACATGTTTAATAGCAAAAAGTCCAAAATATATTGTTTTTTTTTCTCAAAAATGTCAGTCTTTTTTTTGCTTATAGCGCAAAAAAATACCACCGAAAGAAAGCTCAATTCGTGGGAAAAAAGGATGTAAATTTACTTTGGGTGCGGCGCGTTGCATGACCGCACAATTGTCAGTTAAAGTAATGCAAAAAATGGCCTGGTCAGGAAAGGGGGGAAATCCTCTGGAGGGCAAGTGGTTTATAAACACAACCGATTGGAACTCCGCTTTAAGCTACGTTCACACTTGTGCAAGTAGGGAACTCTCACAAAATCGTATGCATTTACAACCCACAGGCAAAACGCACTGCTCTTTAGCAGACATACGGGGCACCATTAATTCTTAATGACACCCCACGCATTGGTAAAATGGCCACATTCTCGCGCATGTGAAACAGCATGTGCAGCTCTTTGGTGATGTAATGGAACAGACTTGAGGCCGTCCTCTGTACGTTGACCACTACTGCTGTGTAGTCATAAAGTAATTTATAGCTCTATATATACAATATATTATGTAGGGCTGGATTTCAGTTCTAGATTTCATTCCTAGATCTGGGAAGAGGAAAAAAGGAAAGACCTCCTAAAAAACTGGGCTTACATGTTACCAAAAGTATTAAAAAGTGCACATTTTTATTTGTCAAAAAATTCTGACACGTATACATACAAAACAATGTATCATACAGAGTCATAATACAGCATCAGAATATATGAAATTACATGATAAGGATACTCAGTATGACTGTTTGACTGGCCATAAAAGATATAGATTGGTATCATCATAGATGTACAAAACTGCAGAGGTACTAATCTAATTATTCCAACGCGTTTCAGAGTGATTCCACTCCTTCCTCAGGGAAGAGAGAGAACTCTGCATATGGATGACATCATCTACAAGATTA